CTGTTCTATATCCTGGTTCAATTGACGAATTTGCATGATAAAGGCCTTCAGTGCTCTACGAAGACCTGAAGGAATTATTCAGGAAACGACCAAAAAATGTTATGGAACGATTAAGTGAAACGGAAATGAAATCAGGGGCTTTAAAGAAGAAGCTTTCAAGCACTTGTGATTGTTATTTGTAATTGGATGAGAAGTCAAAATGAAAATTTTGTTCTGTTTCAGATGTCTGACCTTAGGGTTAAGTATTCAGAATTTCTTGATTGCGGAAAAGGTTTGAATCATTCAGATATCAAGATGCAAGTGAAAAGAAAAATCAAATCATGTTTACTGTACTATATTTGGGACTAAATTGATGTATACCCATACTGCTGCTGTTCACTAGTGTTCACAACATGGCCAACTGACTTCTGGTTTAGAGTCAGATGTGGTGACTCCTAAGATTTATTTAAAATTGATAATAGATATTGCATTCTGAAACATTAAAGCCTAGAAAAAATGGATCTAGAAAGCATTTCAGTGTGTTTAACTTCATTAAAAAAAACAAAGTTTTTGTGTTATACAGTGAGACAGAGCTAAGGGTCTCAATATACAGTGTCTGTGGTATACAGTGAGACAGAGCTAAGGGTCTCATTATACAGTTTGTGTGGTATACAGTGAGACAGAGCTAAGGGTCTCATTATACAGTTTGTGTGGTATACAGTGAGACAGAGCTAAGGGTCTCATTATACAGTTTGTGTGGTATACAGTGAGACAGAGCTAAGGGTCTCATTATACAGTGTCTGTGGTATACAGTGAGACAGAGCTAAGGGTCTCATTATACAGTTTCTATGGTATACCGTGGGACAGAGCTAAGGGTCTCATTATACAGTTTGTGTGGTATACAGTGAGACAGAGCTAAGGGTCTCATTATACAGTGACTGTGGTATACAGTGAGACAGAGCTAAGGGTCTCATTATACAGTTTCTGTGGTATACAGTGGGACAGAGCTAAGGGTCTCATTATACAGTTTCTGTAGTATACAGTGAGACAGAGCTAGGGGTCTCATTATACAGTTTCCGTAGTATATAGTGAGACAGAGCTAGCGGTCTCATTATACAGTTTCTGTGGTATACAGTGAGACAGAGCTAAGGGTCTCAATAAACAGTTTCTGTGGTATACAGTGAGACAGAGCTAAGGTCTCAATAAACAGTTTCTGTAGTATACAGTGAGACAGAGCTAGGGGTCTCATTATACAGTTTCCGTAGTATATAGTGAGACAGAGCTAGCGGTCTCATTATACAGTTTCTGTGGTATACAGTGAGACAGAGCTAAGGGTCTCAATAAACAGTTTCTGTGGTATACAGTGAGACAGAGCTAAGGTCTCAATAAACAGTTTCTGTGGTATACAGTGAGACAGAGCTAGCGGTCTCATTAAACAGTTTCTGTGATATACAGTGAGACAGAGCTAAGGGTCTCATTATACAGTTTCTGTATTTCACAGTGTTCTGATTACACAGGTAATCGTTTTATAATATTGTTGTTGGTTATTGATCATCATGAGCATTGCTGGCCACTACATAGACAGTCGAGTTTGTAGAAATTATACACGGCTCCGACATTTTTGGGTCAGAATTGGAATTCTGATATTTGTGTGGCTATGATGGGATGCTGAGATGTAGGTTTTGATTGACTGGTTTTTGCAGCTTATCTTTAACAAAGAAAATTGATCACTTGTCCTGGAATAGCATGTTTATGATTAACATATTGATGGCATTTACTGTAACCACAGGCCAGAACCCTCCAATAAAGACCTAGTCTCACTACCACAGTCAGAACCCTCCAATAAAGACCTAGTCTCACTACCACAGGCCAGAGCCCTCCAATAAAGACCTAGACTCACTGTCACAGGCTAGAACCCTCCAATAAAGACCTAGTCTCACTACCACAGTCAGAACCCTCCAATAAAGACCTAGTCTCACTACCACAGGCCAGAGCCCTCCAATAAAGACCTAGATTCACTGCCACAGGCCAGAACCCTCCAATAAAGACCTAGTCTCACTACCACAGGCCAGAACCCTCCAATAAAGACCTAGACTCACTGTCACAGTCAGAACCCTCCAATAAAGACCTAGTCTCACTACCACAGTCAGAACCCTCCAATAAAGACCTAGTCTCACTACCACAGGCCAGAACCCTCCAATAAAGACCTAGACTCACTGCCACAGGCCAGAGCCCTCCAATAAAGACCTAGATTCACTGCCACAGGCCAGAACCCTCCAATAAAGACCTAGACTCACTGCCATAGGCCAGAACCCTCCAATAAAGACCTAGATTCACTGCCACAGGCCAGAACCCTCCAATAAAAACCTATACTCACTGCCACAGCCCAGAGCCCTCCAATAAAGACCTAGACTCACTACCACAGGCCAGAACCCTCCAATAAAGACCTAGACTCACTGCCACAGGCCAGAACCCTCCAATAAAGACCTAGATTCACTGCCACAGGTCAGAGCCCTCCAATAAAGACCTAGACTCACTGCCACAGGCCAGAACCCTCCAATAAAGACCTAGACTCACTGCCACAGGCCAGAACCCTCCAATAAAGACCTAGACTCACTGCCACAGGCCAGAACCCTCCAATAAAGACCTAGACTCACTGCCACAGGCCAGAACCCTCCAATAAAAACCTAGACTCACTGCCACAGCCCAGAGCCCTCCAATAAAGACCTAGACTCACTGCCACAGGCCAGAACCCTCCAATAAAGACCTAGACTCACTGTCACAGGCCAGAACCCTCCAATAAAGACCTAGATTCACTGCCACAGCCCAGAGCCCTCCAATAAAGACCTAGATTCACTGCCACAGCCCAGAGCCCTCCAATAAAGACCTAGACTCACTGCCACAGGCCAGAACCCTCCAATAAAGACCTAGACTCACTGCCACAGGCCAGAACCCTCCAATAAAAACCTAGACTCACTGCCACAGGCCAGAACCCTCCAATAAAAACCTAGACTCACTGCCACAGGCCAGAACCCTCCAATAAAGACCTAGACTCACTGCCACAGGCCAGAACCCTCCAATAAAGACCTAGACTCACTGCCACAGGCCAGAACCCTCCAATAAAAACCTAGACTCACTGCCACAGCCCAGAGCCCTCCAATAAAGACCTAGACTCACTGCCACAGGCCAGAACCCTCCAATAAAGACCTAGATTCACTGCCACAGGTCAGAACCCTCTAATATAGACCTAGATTCACTACCACAGGCCAGAACCCTCCAATAAAGACCTAGTCTCACTACCACAGTCAGAACCCTCCAATATAGACCTAGATTCACTACCACAGGCCAGAACCCTCCAATAAAGATCTAGTCTCACTACCACAGCCCAGAACCCTCCAATAAAGGCCTAGATTTACTACCACAGGCCAGAACCCTCCAATAAAGACCTAGATTTACTACCACAGCCCAGAACCCTCCAATAAACACCTAGATTTACTACCACAGCCCAGAACCCTCCAATAAAGACCTAGATTCACTGTCACAGGCCAGAACCCTCCAATAAAGACCTAGATTTACTACCACAGCCCAGAACCCTCCAATAAAGACCTAGATTTACTACCACAGCCCAGAACCCTCCAATAAAGACCTAGATTTACTACCACAGCCCAGAACCCTCCAGTAAAGATCTAGACTCACTGTCACAGGCCAGAACCCTCCAATAAAAACCTAGACTCACTGTCACAGGCCAGAACCCTCTAATAAAGACCTAGATTCACTGCCACAGGCCAGAACCCTCCAATAAAGACCTAGACTCACTGTCACAGGCCAGAACCCTCCAATAAAGGCCTAGATTTACTGCCACAGACCAGAACCCTCCAATAAAGATCTAGACTCACTGCCACAGACCAGAACCCTCCAATAAAGGCCTAGATTTACTGCCACAGACCAGAACCCTCCAATAAAGATCTAGTCTCACTGTCACAGGCCAGAACCCTCCAATAAAGATCTAGTCTCACTGTCACAGGCCAAAGAATGACCCAGTTAAGGGTCTTATTTATTTATACAGTTTTAAGGAAACAAATGTCATATTGGTATGTTCCCATTAGACAGTGTGACAATACACAGCAACATGGCCCCCAAAGTCATATTGGCATGTTAAACAACGTCACACATGGTTTGCTTCCCTAAGTGACTGAACATTTTGATTCTGTTCTAATGCTATGATAACCATTTGTCATGTTCAATAGCTTAACTGTACCATATCAGGTCTGCTTCCCTCAGGGATTAAATACAATGATGTAATTTCTTCAGTGTTCACATCATAAATTGCCAATGAAGTACTATAATATATATCAAATCCTTTACAATTTCTCCACTTTGCATGATGTTAGGAAAGTTCTTAATCAAAATTGTGGTTAGTTAGTGCCAGTCTTTATGAAAATATAGAAGGCCAACAAATTTAAGGCTTTGTGTCATGTCCTGTAAATACCACTTTAATTCCACATATCTACAGTAACTAATTAAATAACATACTGATATGAAACATAAATTTTAGAATGAGTGCGCCATGATATTTTAAACCATCAAATGGTGTACAGAGAATTACAATTTTGTTAACTGTACAAGAAAGCAATGTGAAATGTATTAAATTGCATTCATATCATGATGAAATGTGGTGTATAAAACAAATGTTACAATACAGTGTATGGATTTTTGTGTGGCAGTGGTATGTTGTTCGTAGAATCATAACACTCGCGATTCAGTGGATTTTCAGACTAATAACTGTTGAATCTTGTAGGTTTTATCAACCTTAGTACTGAAAGTCATTATACAGAAGGACTGGGGGCCATTTTTCATCGCAATTTATGGTTATAGGGCATATTTATATTGCCTTCATTTTACAGATTTTAACATATTTTTAAAAATAATATTGCAGACTAAATGTCTGTGTTTTGTGGACACAAATTGACTTTTGTGTGATTTAAACATGATTTTTAAGGAATCTTTTTTTTTATTTACAGTTATATGACAAGATAAACACACAGACGATTAGTCCTGTGCGCCCTCCACCTTCAGACGCTGTTGAGAAAACAAAAGAGGTAGGTCACATGAAATGTTCAATAATTTGTTCTAAGTAGCTATGGCTGATATTTCGAAAGTTTCCAACCACTTCTACTGGAGGAGAAACGAAATTGCAATTCATCCTTCTGTCTAACTCTTTGTCCAGTAAAAACGACCCCTGTGATTAACCCAAAGGGAGGCAATTCATTTATACTTAACCAAAGTTAGGGGATGGGTTTGCGATAGGGTAATGAAATAACACAGGTTTTACTGTAAATAATTACATTGTAGCTGTAATTTTATTCCAAAAGTGTTGAACTAAGATAATTATTGTACTTAAATATGATAGTGCTAAATTATGAGTTACAAACACTCAAAAACAAGGCTCGGGTTTGTCAACTTAATAATCTTTCCCCAGGGGTTGAGATCCTACATGTATTTTACTTCCAAGGGGATGAAATATTAATCTTATACAGTAAAAGTATGTCTAGACCTACAATCCAGTGTAAAAGAAAGATGTGTTTTTATAAAGTGGGTGGACAAACAGAAACATTATCTATCATAACAAGTTGATACAACAGTAAAGGAAAAGTATGAACTCTATGTATTGAATACTGCCCAGTAACAGATAGAGTCATTTACTTTGTCAAATACATAAAAGTTTCTCCTGAATGGACTGAATGGTTAGATATTCATTTCATAACTGATAAAAAGCATTATAACATTAAATATCTGTTGAAAATTGTGTACTTTCTGTTAATTATGATATTTTAATGTTTGAATTACCATTTTATCAACGTCAAAAAAAAAAAAATAATAACATAGGAGTGATCCAACAGTTATTTATATCACTATTGTTAGGAGAGTGTAAACAATGTCTTTAGGCATGCAGTTTTAGATTCAGGTTAATTCAAATTCATTTATTATGCTCTGTCACGCGTATGGAGTGAAACAAGAGGTCATTTTACAAAGTAAGACTAGAAACATGTTTGGCAAATTAAGTTTTGACCAATTATATAAGTATACGTAGTAAGAAAACATTTCAAAAGGGTGGGTTAAAACCAGGCTCCGAAAGGTCATTCGATGAACTCGACTATCTATGATCAAAATAGCATTGGGTGGTAGACATAACAGCCAATGTCGACTAGCGTTAGTTTGAAGTTGATAATTTTTTATCAGTTTCTCTCAGAGAGTGTTATAACTTTGTGGAGAGTCTAAGTTTAAGTATTACAATGCTGGCCCGAAATCAAACACATGGGGAAAAAAATCAAGAATTCTAACCATTTAGTCCTTTTATGGTGGTAGATCGTGTCTATGTAGAGTACTTGTGTTACAGTGCTGTACAGACTTCTGAATGCTTTGTAAATCCACTGTTTTTTCTACTCCACGATAACCATTGCTGCCTCAAGAATCAAGTATTTTTTTCCCTCTATATCAGTAACCCCTATACTTTTGAACATACACTTGGAAGCAATACCATCTATAGCGGTGGTTTAGAGCTTACATCATTCAATATAAACATTCCCATTAGAATTAGCTGCAGATTTAAGTATGCCATGCAGGACTCTTGTATAGTGCTGTAACGATGTTAATCATGCTTGTATCCTAGTGAAGAGAAACTTCATTACAGGCAGATTAATGTAATCACAAACATGTCGCAAGTTTCCCCGATGTTTAGAGACAAATTATTTCCTAAAAATACAATAGTGCTACCTTAATCAAAGACTACAAGAATTTTACTGTTAGTTGGTCACAAATGCTCAGCTCAACCAATAACAACATTCAGAGTAAAGTTTGATCAACCAATCAAAGTTAATGTAAAGTAATGATGATAAAGTTTGATCAGCCAATCAGATCTGATGTGCAGTAATCATGGTAAAGTTTGATCAGCCAATCAGATCTGATGTGCAGTAATCATGGTAAAGTTTGAGTAGCCAATCAGATCTGATGTGCAGAAATCTGGTGAAAAGTTTGATCAGCCAATCAGATCTGATGTACAGTAGTCATGGTAAAGTTTGATCAACCAATCAGATCTGATGTGCAGTAATCATGGTAAAGTTTGATCAGCCAATCAGATCTGATGTGCAGTAGTCTGGTAAAAAGTTTGATCAGGCAATGAAAGCTAACACAGAAGTATTTATTAGATATATGTAGCTGTTGAAATTGCCCAATATACTAGCTTGATTTTGTTCAGATCTTGTATTTACTGTCAGTTTCACCTGAAGAAGTTCTGATGATTTGTTTACATCAATTCAGCTGTTTCTAAACTGCTCCGAGACAAACACACCTTAATGAATGTAATCACACCCTGTCTTATCGTTAAACATTTCTACGTAGTAGTTTGTGTTTTTCTTACGGGGCATTTACAAGTAATTAAAGATTGAAGGAGATATTTTAACAGCTGGTGCCTCGTACTGTTATGTTCTTTTGCTGTTTACTTGAATTACCAACAAACACACTCTCTTGTCTTGTAGTGAGCCCAGACCCATGCTTACATGGTGTCTATGACTTTATTTAGGTTTGAATATGTTTTTATGGTTGAAAGATAAATGTGACTTTATCTACTTAGGGTAAAAATGCTCACTTGTGTCTTTAGTCTGGAAACATCACGACTCACAAAAGGTATCATCATCATATTGTTATTGTAGGCATGATCAGTGTCATCGAGTAGGCATGATCAGTGTCATCGAGTAGGCATGATCAGTGTCATCGATTTGGTCACATTTAATCCTCTTCTGAAGGATCAATCAAAATTTTATGTTTTGTTTTTACAACTTGAGATGTTAGACAAAGGGAATTCTCGGAATAGAAATAAACTATTACCTCAATGTTAAGTTGACAGAGACATCTCAATCATAGGGATAAGATTTTTCAGGTGCTTCTCTCTTGGTATTTTTGAAATATCTGTTGACATCATACAGAGGTAAAAATATCGTTGGATTGACATCATTTTGTGTTTACTTACAGGTGTCTACACTATTAGCACAGTGTCCTGACCAATATGCAAGTCTTAGTAAAGAGCTTAGTCAGATCATCTCCAAGCCTCACATCATGGTAAGTCATTCCTTTTGTTTGAATTATTTTCTTCAAGATCACCTCCAAGCCTCAATCACATCATGGTAAGTTCAGCATTGATCCATTTCTTTAAACGACATGAATGATTTTCATGTCACAGATCCAATGAGTTGAAGGTCAAAGGTCACACAGGTATTGTCAATGGTGTGAGTGCAGAGTTACATAAGTCAGTCAGACCATGTCAAAGTTGAATGGAGGTCAAAAATCAGTCTTGATTTCAATATTTCATTTTTTTCCCTATTTAGTTTCTGCATGTTGTTTGCTCTTTATATGACCTTATATGGAGTTGAATTAAAATTTCTGAAAGGTTTTTTATCCAAGATTCCTATTGTGTTTGATTTGCCAAATAGCTTGTTTTGTTGTAAACTTTTGTGTTACTTATTTACTAGACCGCCTGTAACATTTTCACATAAAGAGGATAAAAAGAAAATTATATATGTACTGATGTCTGATAATAAGCCCACACATGTTTATTGCTGTCAGTAAACATGTTAACAAAAGGCATTTCATTGTTATCCAATCCAATAAGCCATCTCACTCTGTAACACAATGTTTTTGTCTGTGCACACTAAGCTTAATAGCTAGATGGTAAAAAATATTGTAGTTTTACATTTTGAAAATGTAATCTTGTGGAATTTGTTTCTCCCAACCCCAAGATTTGTATATAAAAACAAAATTTTTAAGATAATTCCTTCGTTTAAACTTAATTTATGTTTTTGGAGACAACCAGACAAAGGTGTGACTAAATCTAGGATATTATGTAATTGATATGTGTGTTGAAACATGTTCTGGTCACTGCAGGCTTAAAGTCTGGCAGACTCTAATATCAATCTATATCAGTGCATTGTTTATAGGTGTGTGTTGCACTATAGGGACACAGTAGGATAATAACAGATAAACATATCAGTGTTCGGTGTTAGAGTACAATACCGAATTCTCTACACATCAGTAATCAAAGTAACAGGTTTTCTGTACGATTGACTAGATAACTACGTTACGGGGAATGAACTCCATTAGCTGTTGTTTATCTGCTCAATACACACAATAACAAATCACAGTCCTTTCCGTTATCGAATAAATGTTTTTGTTTCTTGTGAAATGGGAAGTTATTCAGTTTATTGAACCGCTGTCTGTGATTCGTAACATGCGATGTAAATTATTACACACTTAATGTTGTAAGAACAGATTCACTTTCAGTTTCTTTGAATGAAGAAATTTTGGTTTCATTTAAGTGGAATGGTGGAATTTTAACAAACATATTGATCTGAGATTTCTTTTAAGAACTTTGTTTGGATGTTTAGCGAGTTTAAGCTACTGCTTTTTCACCACCACACTACGACTTTTTCTTAACCGTATATGGTAAATGTCACCATGGCTATTTGATGACTCGTTATAACAGAGATCCAAGATTGCGTTCCCGTAGAGCCACTGGATAATGTTCAGGTCATTTTCCATGCTGAGTCCCTAGATAGTTACCTTCCTTGTACAGCTTATAAGGTGTTATATTGAGATCAATACAAAGACCTTTTTGTCCTGTTTACAGTTAAAATAACAGCTTGTTTTCTCTAGTTTAAAGAATTTTTCTCAAAAATTTGAGGGAGAAAAACATAATTATCTTTCAAATTTCTAAGAAAATTTCTGTATTCCATTTGAACCAAGAATAGGCTGCTTTGAAAATTAATTCACATTAATCACTGAAGAAACATATCAAGGTTTTTTGTTCCTACAATTCTCAAATTCATTCAATTCAGGGGCCCATGGACTCCAATCATCAATGATTTATTGTATGTTTTTCTCATTTTTGTGAATCCTTCGTTAAGAATTATGGGGTCAAAATATAGGTTATGTAGAGTCAGGAAAAAGCCTTATCACCCAATGACATACATTGTACAGCTGATGTAGAGGTTATTTTACATCATTATACTGTTTTCCTGTAAGTTTTCTGTATTATTTGACTCTATCATGATAGATTTCTTAGTCAGTTCGGATATACTGAGGCAATCTTCATGCTGTTGCTGTGGTGTAACAATCGTGTTTAAAGGGGCATAACTCCTGTAATGTCATTGCTGATGAAAAACAGCCTCTGAAAGCACCTGTATATATACAACTTACTTAGACACATATAGTACAAGATCCCCTCCCCCGACCCCTTCCTCCAGGCATGTCCATGTAATGACAATTTTAAAGTCCTTCTAATTAGAAAAATATTTAGATTGTAGTTGAAATAGAAATAATGAGGTAATTGATAGAGATGTTAGCTCAAGTTCAAGTTTATTTTATTCAGTATTTTAAGGCCTACAAGCCAAGAGTATATATTACAGATAATAGTCACATATTTTTTTTTATTCAATAGTGAAACATATCAATAGATCATGTCTTTAAAACATGCATATATATGTGCAGTTATTAATATATGTTTTATATTGATTTGCACAACAAAGCAAATTATTCATATATAACAACTGAAACACGTATCTAATACCTGAAATACATATTATATTGTATATAATGACATATCTTTGGTCAATAGGTAATGACTTTAAACATCTATTTCATCTTCAAACTTCTCTTTAAATTCATCAACCTCATACAGGTGTTAGTAATCTTGTGTTAGAACCAGCTGATGGTACATACTTGATAAATTAGACATCTGGACGGAAGTTAAACAGTGATAACTACTACAAGATATAGATAACTGTTACATATCTACAGATACAATTTCCTTATCAGTGTTTATATATTTTTAATTTTTTTTTTGCGTATATTTATATAAGTGGTTAAGTGTGATTTAGAAACTAGATACCAATTATACAATCTATATAAAGTTTGACGTGACCTTCACCTCCAGAGTTTTGATTGCTGTAGGTTAATGTTGTTATTCACTGGAATTAAGTGCCATATATGAATCTCCCTTGTGTGCAACATCAGACTTGTCATTCATTCAACTTCTGTCAAACATCTCAGTTATGATTTTGACATTACCAAATTCCATGCAGAATTGCTAGAGTTATGCCCCTTTTCTCTGTTTTCCAGATACATCTGTATCAATGGTTCTCCTCACTATCTGGAGATGGTTTGGGATACATTAGGGTTAAGAAGACTGTAGCACCCTTATTGAACTATAGGAGATTTCAGGTTTCCCATCTTCATGACTCATCCTATCACTAGACAATGTCTCACTGACAAACAGCAGTGTTCTGTGGTTGTAGTTCACGCTAAAATATTTATCATGACCAAGTTTTTCCCTTTTCTACATATTGTATATCAGCTTGTTACCGTAAAACCACATATTTTTATCGGGCTCAATGTTTGTAGTTAAAAAATAAGTGTTTCTTGCATATTTTATTTTGTGGATAATTAAAGCTTAACAGGTCAATTTACACTGATTCTATCAAGTCAAGGCCATATTGATTTGTGGATGAAGAGTAACCTTAAAATTAAAGAAAATAAAACCACGATGAAAATTTATGATTTTACGGTAAGTTTTATTGTTATAGCTGTAATTTTTCAGTCCCTTGTGCTTTGGATGAAGAATAATTGAAGTTCTTTCATTTTTTTTTTTTTACATTTTTATTCATACAAGACCACATTGATTATTTCAAGTAACAATTAAGATAAATTGTTAAAGTGTAGGAAATATTATTTTAATGAAGTTTAGACACGCACATCTTTATTCGTCCTTATCTGTTTAAATATCAATGGTCTACTTATGGATCTTGTCAAGGTGAAAGGTGGAAATTCAGTTTCATGACTCCAAAGACTTTTTCTCCAGAACTGTTTGTAGGATTTTCATCACATTTGTTCTTAAACTTAATTTTGAAATCATACTACCTCTTGGAGATTAAATAAATAAGTATATAAATATACACATATATGTAGTCAAAAAGACAGAATCAACTCAGTATTTACAAGTTAAACTTATTTGGATGTTTCAATATTTTGAAGACTACTTCTATAAGCTAGCTTGCTCTAAGAATTAAAAACAAGATTTTATTTCAAATACCGTATCACTGACAGTAATAAAAGTCATGATGTTTACCAGTGTTGATACATAGATGTGTCAGAAGAAATACTGTTGTAGGATCTTTCAATTTCCATATATATATTTCTATAGTTAATTCATGTTCTTGCAGCTGGCTTTTACAAATACAAAAAAAATCAAAATGATTTTATGTTCACTTTCATTTGTTTGAACTTGGCAACAACTTTGAACTGACCATAAAACCTAACAAAAAAAATTCAATAACCCAGTTCATAAAATGTCTGGCCTCAGTGAGATATTGACAAAGGTAATGATAAATACAACGAGACAGAGAGAATATTTCCCTTCACAGACACTCTCATAGAACTAGAAGTAGAGAATCCCCCAGAGCATCACTTGGTTTATTGACTGCAAATAGTCTTTACAGAGTTATTTTGTTTCACATTGGTTTCAAAAGATTTTGAAAATTGCATTTTTGTTTTTTTTCCAAATGAAGATATTATCTCAACTATTGCCCTCACTTCAGACATATCAGAGATGGGAAAAGTATATACCCAATAGGAATAAAGCTATCGTGTTTACTTTCGACTAGTGTGTGATATTGTCGCAAGGGGAGGAGATAGGCACACCTGGTATATCACTGAATCACATGCATCAGACTAATGACAACTGCTTACACAGACCCCAAAGGACCCCTTCAGCGATGCAGTGTTTAAGTTCATTTCAGAGATCCTGTGACTCTGGCACTATACCAGATGGACAGTACCTACGACTTGTAGAGGTGGGAATAAAAACCAATCTGTCTTATCTGCTGAGCACTGAATCTTTATGGCATTGTAGGTGGGTTTAAAACAACCAATCTCTTGTCCTTTCACTTCACATTCAACCTTGGGGTAATGTACCTCTTGTCCTTTCTCTTCACATTCAACCTTGGGGTAATGTACCTCTTGTCCTATCTCTTCACATTCAACCTTGGAGTCATCTACCTCTTGTCCCA